TCATTTATAATCGGTAACCCAACCACTAGTAATCACACTGACACTACATCCTTCTAAAGGAACTACACTCTAAACAATGCTGGGTTGTTTTAACCCACATTTGGGTCAAATATGGACAAACCCAAATGTTGGGTTAAAAATGTAATTAAAAAATGTACAGTTGAAAGTGAAAGTTGAAGTTGGGTTAAAATTTTAAATGACATTTTTAACCCAACATTTGGGTTTGTCCATATTTGACCCAAATGTGGGTTAAAACAACCCAGCATTGTTTAGAGTGTACTAATTATTTAGATCAGTATTCTAAAGTGAAAATAATGATAACTCCAGTAATTACTGAAGTCATTGTAAGCTTTTGAATAGTAAATCTATGGATTTGGTAACACTTTAGTTATTACTAGTGTGTTCCCACGATCTTCACTTCAGATACTGATCCACATTATAGTTCCTTTAGAAGTATGTAGTTACACTTGAGTCATAAATGGGCTACCATTACCTTGTATTATACATTATGAGAATGTTAATACTGCGTTACTCATTTGTTCCTGTGCAGTTATTCATTAATGACGGAACAGTATTGTAAAGTGTTACCCTATTATTGAGGTGTTTTCTTGTATTTATCTACGGCTAAATGTCATGTTTCAGTTCTTGGAGCGTCTCCGGCCTGGATGTGGCCGGTGGTCGGCGTGTCGGCTGGACTCGGTGTGGCTCTTGTCCTGATTATCCCGTCATTGCTCCTGTGGTTAAAGGTGACATATTAAGCCCCTTTTCACAAGATGTAATATAAATCTTTGGTGTCCCAAGAATGTGTCCCAGATCAATTTATTATAGCTTGTTAAATTTGCCCGTTTTTGCAGTAGCCCCTCATTGCAGTACACGAGATCCAGGGGGCAGAGTTGGATCCAGATATAAGTAGGATGGGTAGGATTAGGGGTGGGGTTAGGGATCAGGGGGTGGAGATGGGTAGGTTTAGGTATGTATGGTGGGAGGAGTTGGATCTGAATCCAACTCCTCCCCCTGGATTTCATGGTCTGCAGTGAGGACCATCTCCGTTTTTGGGTGTGAGCTAAAACACGTTTTTTGTGTGGATCCCTTTAAATGCAAATGAGCTTTAGCTCCGCCTCCATTCAGAAAAGGGCGGAGCCTTTACACGAGCTTCAGAGACTCCGGCAATAACAACACAGGCCGATCTCACTGATCCAGAGTCAGGAGTAACCAGCAGCGAGTGCAGCCTTACGGAGAGACTCAGGGAGAGCTTCACTTTTACACGTTTCTGAATGTTAGCGGAGACATTTCTGTAGTTGTTGTGGAGTTACACTGATCATCTCCTCATCATGTTGAACTGTTCCACAAGTGTCCACAGTTCCTGAGGTGTTTATAAGACAGCGCTGACATGTTCTGGTCAATAAGGGGTGGTGATGGCGCAGTGGATAAGACACATGCCTTTGGTGTGAGAGACCTGGGTTCGAATCCACTGTGAGACACCAAAGTGTCCCTGAGCAAGACACTTAACCCCTAGTTGCTCCAGAGGCGTGCGACCTCTGACATATATAGCAATTGTAAGTCGCTTTGGATAAAAGCGTCAGCTAAATGAATAAATGTAAATGTAAATGTAAATAGTGTTCAGTGTCGTCTGTGCTCGACCACAGAACAGTTTCAGGCTTTGCTGGATCTTCTCCAGTGCGTTAGAACTGGTCTCTGTTGGCGCTCGCCGAACCCAATGTCGCTGGTGTGTGTAAACGTGCAGATTAAAGGATTAGTTCACTTTTTAAAAAACTTTTGCTGATAATTTACTCACCCCCATGTCATCCAAGATGTCCATGTCTTTCTTTCTTCAGTCGAAAAGAAATTAATGTTTTTGATAAAAACATTCCAGGATTTTTCTCCATATAATGGACTTCAATGGTAGCCAAACGGTTCAAGGTCTAAATGACCGTTTCAGTGCAGCTTCAAATGTCTTTAAACGATACCAGACGATGAATAAGGGTCTTATCAGCGAAACGATCGGTCATTTCAAAAATAAATAAAAAGGTTAAAGTTTTATAGGCACAAATGCTCGCCTTGCGAACTCTCCTGTTCGAACTCGTTCATCAAAATGAACGAATCTTTTTTCGAGTCATTGACTCGTTCATTTTGAACAGGAGAGTTCGCAAGGTGAGCATTTGTGCCTATAAAACTTTAACTTTTTTATTTATTTTTGAAATGACCGATCGTTTCGCTTGATAAGACCCTTATTCATCGTCTGGTGTCGTTTAAAGCCCTTTGAACAGTTTGCAGTTTGCACTGAAACTGTCTTTTGGACCTTGAACCGTTTGGTGCCCAGCAAAGTGCATTATATGGAGAAAAATCCTGGAATGTTTTCATCAAAAACATTAATTTATTTTCGACTGAAGAAAGAAAGACATGGACATATTGGATGACATGGGGGTGAGTAAATTATCAGCGCAAGTTTTTTAAAAAGTGAACTAATCCTTTAAGGGCCGGGAATATTATAATAACATCCTCTTCTTACGTCAGAAATCTTATCGGCTTATTTTATAACATGCTTGCAGAGAAAGACTCACCAAAACAAAGTAACTGGGTTTCACTTTTCACGTTTTCTGGGTTGGTAGATGCACCTGATTATAGCAATTATTAATAATAATATACCAGATTTTCATGATATGTCCCCTTTTAAAATGTACACATCATCATCCAGCAAAAGTTTTCACCCCTTTCATCTCTTAAAGCATCATGTTTCCTTGAGCATCAGTGAATGTTTACATAGTTGTGCATCTTAAAGGTACAATATGTAAGAATTTTGTAATAAAATATCCAAAAATCACTTGCACAGTGTGATATATTTCCTGCAGTTGTGTACTTACAATATCCCAAAAGTCTCCAAAGATTTTTTATTTCAGAGAAATTCCAGTTTTAAATAAGTGGCCGTCCCGGAAAAAAATGTCGCCTGTCAACGACGCAATATCCGCGCTATCCTCGGCTTCCGCTCGGACTGCCATAGCCATGACGTAACCATGGCGACAGACGCGGACAACTGCGTAGTGCGTAGCGTTTAGCGGCACGCAGTTCTTGTTTCTTTCAAACATAGACCAGGGCAAGCAGACTTTGGGACGAACAAGGAGAACTAAAATGAGGATCAATTTCAGCGTGGCGTTTTTGAGAAGCCGAGAGCTAGCGTCCGCGACTAACTCGGACTCGACAGAGCTTCACGACGAGTCACGACTTGACAGCTTTATTAGACAGGTGAGCAAATGTACATAAAACAAATCAATGTTATATAACGTTAGCTCAACATGATGAAATGTTAGAATATGGTCAGTATGTTATTCTAATGTTGATCTAGCTTACTGCTAGTTTCCTATAGCAAACGAACTAACACGTAGTATAACATTATAACTTTCAACACACATTTAAATGCCGTTTAGTGTGATAGTGTAACGTTAGACCAAGTGAAGCAGCGCTGCGTTATCCTCACTAGTTTAATTCGTCTAATAAACTGACCTGTGTGAGTAATCCAGCACTTGCGGGTTCGGTAGAATTAAATGTCCTTATTCCTTTATATCCGCGGGACTCACTTGTGATATCAGCAACGTGTGATATTAGCAATCGCGACCTGCTTCATACCACTGTAATGTTTAAAAAACATGAATGTTTGCACTCATCCATCAGCTTGACAGCAAGTCCCATCATTCAGCTCATCACTGCGTCATCAACCTACGCCTGTGTTATTGTTGGAAACTGCGCCCTCTTGTGGCGAAAAAATCTTACATATTGTGCCTTTAAATCATATAGTCAATCATTTGGAAAGTTGATTGTCCAAGTCCAAGCAATTGTCAAGTCATTGCACTAGGTTGGTAGATGCTCCGGGGACCCGATTATAGCACTTAAACACGGAAAAAGTCCGATTTTCATGATATGTCCTCTTTAAAGAGGAGACGCCAGCGGACAGAAGGAGGCGAGCGAGTTCGTCACAGATCCATCGTGACCGACAGCAAAACCTGGACTCGATCTGAGGAGAACAGAAGCAGATCAGGACGAGATAAAGACAGAAATGGGCTAAAGAAAAACAAGAAAGGGAAGGAGTCAGGAAAGAGACGCAAGGAGCCGCTCGGGGAGGATGCGATCCGAATGCGGTGAGTGTGTTTGAAGAGTTTCACACTGTGAGTGAGGGAGGAAAGGGCCCTGATGGAGAGGAACCGTGTGTGTGTGTGTGTGTGTGTGTGTGACGCTGATTTAGGCCCCTGAGGAAGGAACTGGACATTGGAAGTGACACCGACGTGACCCAGAGCTCCATGGAGGACATCAACAAGACCATCTGTGACCACAGATCACCGGACCAAAAGCACTTCCAACCGCCCCGCATGCTGGGTGAGAAGGAGGAGCCGGCCGCACACACTCACACACTTATACTCACCTTTACTCTAACATGGGGGACCTGTGGAACCGAAACTGAAATGTATGGTTAAATGTGTGTGTGTCTGTGTGTATATATGTATGTATCTATACACACACACACATATATAAGAGCCTATGTATCCACACACATATATTATACATTACTAAAACATAAAATACAATACACAGGTGAAACTCAAAAAATTTGAATATCATGCAAAAGTTCATTTCAGTAATTCAACTTAAAAGGTGAAACTAATATATTATATAGACTCATTACATGCAAAGTGAGATATTTCAAGCCTTTATTTGTTATAATTTTGATGATTATCATGGCTTACAGCTTATGAAAACCCCCAATTCAAAATTAGAATAGCTGTAAACTATTATAACAAATAAAGGCTTGAAATATCTCAGTTTGCATGTAATGAGTCTATATAATATATTAGTTTCACCTTTTAAGTTGAATTACTGAAATAAATGAACTTTTGCACCATATTCTAATTTTACGAGAAAGTAGTTAATGTGATTAATGCAGTCATTTTAGTTTTATTTATATACTATTATAGTATTTAATATTTTGAATTAGCTTTTATTTTCATATTTTCAGTTTTCATTTTAGTTTGTTTTAGCAAATTTGTTATGTGCTTTTTTCCGTATTATTAGTTTTTTTTTAAATATTCCCATTTAGTTAGATTTTTTATTAGAATTTTAGTACATTAAGAACTTATTCTAGTTAGTTGTATTTTAGCTTTATTTTAATTAACGAAAACAACATTTTGTTAACGTATATAAACCAAAATTAAATATTATAAACCAAAATTAAATATATATATTAAAGTTAATAAAGCCTACTAAAGTTAAAAATAAATCTAAAAAGCAATATATAAAAAATTACAAAAAATGCATAAAAATTTACTAAAATAAAAATATAAAATTAAAAGTTAATTCAAAATATTGATAAATAAATACTAAAACATTTCAGAGCATGTAAAATGCCACTTTTTCAAGCTAAACAAACTTGTAAATTTTGGTACTGAACTTTACATCCAGAACACAGCCTTTGAAAATCATCTAAAAAATATTTGCATATTATTTTCAATGTACTATGAAAAGAGGAAGAGCTAATTCTAATCTTGCACATACAGATACGAGGATAGTTGTGACACATACAGCCAGTAAAATTACTACAACTAAATAAAACTATATAGACAGTAACTGTACCTCATCTTAATCGTCTTTCTTTGTTATTTCTCCTTTAGCTCCACCGAGAGGATGGGAGAGAAACCCAGTTCCTACACCTCAAAGAGCACCAAGAAATGTGAGCTTATATACTGTATCAGCTTCAACTTTTATTTATCTAGTACATTTAATAGCAACCACATTTACCAAGCTTAGTAAATGAAGGCATGACTACACACTCTTATACATACACCCTCACATAACTGTATAGTGAGATCAGTATAGAGAAAAAAAATAAAAAATAATACAAATAAGTTATTACTTCAATACACAGAATACCCTTAGCTTAAAAAGATACGTTTTCAACTGAGACTTAAACATCTCTATTGCTGAAGCTTGCCGGATATGAAGAGGAAAACTGTTACACAACTGAAAAAGCTCGGTCACTTTTTGACTTCTAGAATAAGGGACAGCCAGCAAAAATTGGTTAATGTCCTTAATTGGTTAACCAGCTTAATGTCCTACCTGATACGCAAGACCCTCAGCAATGTTGTTTGGGGACGTGTTATGCTGTGCTTTAAAATCATTAATAAAAATCTTATAATTGATCCTGTACTGAACCGGCAGCCACTGAAGAGAGGATAAGTGAGGGATAATGTACAGCCGGTCGTTATCTCAGAATAAACCAGACAGGGTGATCAGGATCAGGTCTTCATCAGTTATTTTGAGATCACACACACACACACACACACACACACACACACACACACACACCTGAAGGGGGTTATTCTGAGATCACACACTCACACACACACCTGAAGGGGGTTATTCTGAGATCACACACACACACACACACACACCTGAAAGGGTTTATTCTGATATAACAACCGGCTGGAGTTACATTATCCCGCTTAAAACACGAATACTTGCCACATAAGTAAATAATTAGACACGAAATATTGATCTAAGTTAAAATATTTTATTAGGTCTTTAAACGCAAAGCTCCGCGGAGAGAGCAGTTTCAGCGGCGAGATCAAACTAGACGGACATTTAAGAGATACGATACAGTCATAACACTTATTACTCAGCATTTCACCACATAAATAATTATGGAGACAAGAGATATTGATTTCAGATTAAACTGTTTTAAAATCGCACCTGTTTGTATCTCATAATCCAACCGTGTAGAAAACAACAGTCACAAAATGGCCGCCGCTGCGTTTGTATGAAACGAGAGAGAGCGAGTCCACGATACTGGATGGCATAATTAAATAACTACTCAAAATATTGATTCAACTGAATTTTCATATTTTATTAGCTCACCAAATGCAAACCTTCCACGAAGAAAAACCGGATGAGCCTGTGTTTCTGTTATCTGGGAATAACACACCGTTAGATGCTGCGATTGACCAATCAGAATCAACAATCAAGTATTCCACAGAGCCGTGTAATAATACTGGAGTAACGTGGTCCCTTTTTTTTAGTATAAACAAATGATATCTGTTAAAAGAAACAGCATTTCCTTGATTTCTGCATGCCCTCTGGAGCTGATGGTGTGTGTTGTCGTGTGTCAGAGCGCTCCGGTGCAGTGGTGCGGTCCCGACGGCTCGGTCGTGCTGATCCGTGCGGTCAGAAGTGGACTGGACCGAGTGGTTCTGGAGCTCCTGAGAGCCGGAGTCCCGGTCAATAACACCGACCACACGGGTACGAGCATCTAATGCCTGTTCTCTCCTGTTGCATGTGGAATGAGTCCCTTCGATTAGCTATGTTTACATGCACAACTTGTGTTTAGATCGGACTGAATTGATTCCGATTGATGAATCTGAATGTTACGGTGGCCGAGAGAGCTCAACGCGCTGCAACTGAAAAAACAAAACAAAAACAAATGTAAATAGAAAAACACCCGCATATTAAGAAAACATCTTCATCAGTTTTACAACACTGAAATTTTTTATCACAAGATTCAAAACGGAATATATATATTTTTTACATATTTCGCTTAATGCTCGAATATACAGAGTTTCCCGCTGTTTGCAATACTAACGGCACTCGTTACTAAAGATTTTAAGAACTATGTAAAAACTCCATAGTAACCATCTGTGACAACTACCAACCAACTAGTAACACCATAGCAAACATAAAATATACCATAGCAACCGCCCTGAACACCCTAGAAACGCCCTAGCGACCACCCAAAATTCCCTAGCAACCATCCAGAACACCATAGCAGCTGCCTAGCAATCACCCAGACACCCTAGCAACCACCTAAACACATGAATAAGCCATATCTCAGCACCAGAACATCGTACAGACATGGTTGTTGGCTCACATGCAATAATTTACCACACCCTAGCAACCGAGTGGTGAGTTTTGCCACTGCAAGCACCACTTCACATTTTCTTCTTCATTTTCTATGAAACAGCAGACTTAATATTTATCCATTTCTGGTCATAATTAGGAGTAACTATGAGCATATGAACCGTTGTGCCGTGATGTTTATATTTATTACGCAGTACAAATGCGCTAAACCAGTCGTCTGTGTGGATGAGAATTTTACAATGACGGACCACTCATTTATACGACACTTTATTCATCAGGAACAACAGCTCGTTCAGCGCGTCATTACGCTATTTCTACGTCACTGCACATGCGCAGTGCTTTCAGTTTCGGTTTTCAATCCGATCAAGTGTTTACATGTTCTCTCGATCGGATTAGAAAATGAATAAACCACCTCTTTCAATCCTGATCGAAATCTCATTGGGATCGAGCTCAATCGGATCGAGTAAGGCGTTTACATGAAGGATTTTCAGTCCGATTGAGCCGTCAATCTAACGGATTATTTGGTTGCATGTAAACGTAGACCTTACAGGAAGAGTGTGTGTTTCCTTTGCAGTTGGGGAGTAATGTGTTTTGCCCTTTCTTTGTCCCTCTCTCTGTCCTGTCCTGAACTCCTCACTGCAGCTCCCCTGATAAACACGTCTGATTCAGAACAGAGTTAATGTGCTGTAGCGCCCCGGTCAATGTGGAAATAATGTATTAACCTTCCATGCCTTTGTTTCTCTCTCTCATACATTTCCCTCTTTTACGGCAATGGTCGATGGCTTCCTGTTTTCCCTTCCCATAACACATTCCTGGATGCTCGCCTCTCACGTCATTTTTTTTGGCTTCGTCCACTCTTTTGTGACCCCACAACACGCCATTACACAATCACCCTTTCACTGATCGAGATCAATTCCTTCTTGCATCTCTTCTCTCTCTCTCTCTCTCTTCTCTCTCTCTCACACTCCTCATTCAGGTAGATCTGCCCTTCACTGGGCTTGCTCAGTAAATCACCTCCCATTGACACGGACTCTCATTCGCTACGGTGCCGCTGTGGACTTACAGGACCATAGGGTAAAGAAAACGACATGTTTGTGTACTTCTCTATAGCCAATCTATTAACCAGATAGATAGATAGACAGAGAGATAGACTGAGAGATAGATAGTAGACTGAAAGATGGATAGATAGATAGATAGATAGACAGATAGATAGATAGATAGATAGATAGATAGATAGATAGATAGATAGATAGATAGATAGATAGATAGATAGATAGATAGATAGATAGATAGATAGATAGATAGATAGATGGATAGATAGACAGATAGATAGATAGACTGAGAGATAGATGGATAGATAGACAGATAGATAGATAGATAGACTGAGAGATAGATGGATAGATAGATAGATTGATAGACAGAGACAGATAGATAGGTAGATTGAAAGGTAGATTGAAAGATGGATAGATTGACAGATAGATAGATAGATAGATACAGTAGACAGAAAGATAGACAGATAGATAGATAGACTGACTGATAGATAGATATATAGATAGATACAGTAGACAGAAAGATAGACTGAGAGATAGATAGATAGATAGATAGACTGAAAGATGGATAGATAGACAGATAGATAGATAGATAGACTGAAAGATGGGTAGATAGACTGATAGATAGAGAGATAGACTGAGAGATAGATAGATAGATAGACTGAAAGATGGATAGATAGACTGATAGATAGAGAGATAGACTGAGAGATAGATAGATAGATAGACTGAAAGATGGATAGATAGACAAATAGATAGAGAGATAGATAGAGATAGATAGATCGATAGATAGATAGAAGATAGAGAGATAGATCAGAACAACACAACTATCTACAGTTTGACACAGTTCTATACTCTACACACACAGTAACACTGTCATACTGAGAAGTAATGTGTCACTCCACCAATATTAATGTGTCACTCCACCAATATTAATGGAATAAAAGTCAATCTTTTCCTTAGGGTGAAACGGCTTTGTTTCTCTCGGCTCTCCACGGTTGCTATGACACCGCACGATTCCTGCTGCTCAACGGGGCCAATCAGGATCTGTGTGACGGCAAGGGGCGTCGGCCACTGGATGTGGCTCGAGAGGGATTACATCATCAGGTCCTCGAGCTCCTATTGGCCCACAGAGTTCACAGGGCCCCGGTGCCTCTGGACCCCTCCACTGAGCTGCTGTGGGACGATCGCACGTACGCCTTCTCTCCGTGGGTCGCGTCGCCGCCATGTCTGCCCGGGAGAAGTGCCTCGTTCTCAGGGGTCATAGGTCACAGGGGGATGTCAACACCGCCACCCACGTAAGTTGCGACAGTTCCTTTAAGTTGCTTAAGTGAGGGATAATGTACATCCAGCCGGTCGTTATCTCAGAATAAACCCGACCGGGTGATCAGGAGCAGGTCTTCATTAGTTATTCTGAGATCACACACACACACACACACACACACCTGAAGGGGGTTATTCTGAGATCTCACACACACACCTGAAGGGGGTTATTCTGAGATCACACACACACACACACACCTGAAGGGGGTTATTCTGAGATCTCACACACACACACACCTGAAGGGGGTTATTCTGAGATCACACACACACACACACACACACACCTGAAGGGGTTTATTCTGATATAACAACCGGCTGGAGTTACATTATCCCGCTTAAAACACGGATACTTGCCACATAAGTAAATAATTAGACACGAAATATTGATCTGAGTTAAAATATTGTATTAGGTCTTTAAACGCAAAGCTCCGCGGAGAGAGCAGTTTCAGCGGCAAGATCAAACTAGACGGACATTTAAGAGATACGATACAGTCATAACACTTATTACTCAGCATTTCACCACATAAATAATTATGGAGATAAGAGATATTAATTTCAGATTAAACTGTTTTAAAATCGCACCTGTTTGTGTATCATAATCCAACAGTGTAGAAAACAATAGTCTCAAAATGGCCGCCGCTGCATTTGTATGAAACGAGAGAGAGCGAGTCCACGATACTGGATGACATAATTCTACTCAAAATATTGATTCGACTGAGTTTATATATTTTATTAGCTCACCAAATGCAAACCTTCCACGAAGAAAAAATGTTCCTAGTGAGTGTATAGCGCTGATGTCTTCAGTGGCCGGATGAGCCTGTGTTTCTGTTATCTGGGAATAACACACCGTTATGCTGCGATTGACCAATCAGAATAAAGAGGCGTGTAATAAGCATTTTTAAGTTCTCATGGCTGGCGAGTTCTCATGTTTCGTTCTCAACAGTGATTGGCAGATGGGCTCCTCCCCCCAGAACTGGCGTCCAGCCCCCAACCAATCAGCAACAGCACTGGTCAGCCCCAGGATTCTTGGCCGCCCATCTCGGCCTATCAGTACTCTCCAGGAAGTGACATCGGAGGCGGAGGACGAGGAGAGGGAAATGTTACAGGATGTCACCCGGGCAGCAACACCTCACTTCCTGTCTCCACAACCAGCGCCTCGACAGCGCTCGTTCTCCTGTACCCAGCATGCACTGAACCGCCGCTCCAGTGGCAACCAATCAGAGCCGCCCGTAGCTGTGCCAGCCAATGAGCGCGTCGAAATCGTGATCGTGCCCCACCCGAGAGAAGCAGCCAGCCAATCAGAGAGCAAACCCACAGGGAACGCCCTCGGCTCACCTCAGATGGACTCTGAGAGGGACAATATAAGGAACTGCGTCTCCAAAATCCACAGCGAGAGGGTCAATAATGAGTCCGGCGTCTTCCTCCAGAGCAGCATGTGAGACATGACGTTTGGAAAACTGTTGTTTACAATACGTCAAATCATTTTACAGACTATACAATAATCTGCTTATGGAAAATTATTGGCCGAATCTCAGGAAAACTCCCCAAAATCAAAAGCAATTGGAATATGTATAAAGAAAATTAATTAATTTTATTAAGATTTAATTGACATTATTTTCAGGACAATAAGGCACATTTTCTTCCACATGACTGTAATATGTTTGTATGTTTTACTTTATGTAATTTAGGATTTACTTTGCTGTAATAAAACATTGTTTAAGTGTCACAAAAGTAATATAATCATAATTTTATGTATCCTAATGAAATCTTAGTAATACACTATTTCTTTTGATTCAACGTTAAAATGTTCACAGATTTTATGCAATTTACCCTATTATGTACAGTATATTTCCTTATTTTATTTAATCGGTTCTGATTTTTGGATGGTTTAAAAATGTTGTCGTCCACAAAAAAAAGTATTACACCAAAAAAAAAAAAAAAAAAGGAATGGTAAATATATTTAAAATGATGTACACTCGCATGAGACGAAGACAATGGTGTTGTTGGTAATCAAATTTTCTTTTGTGAGACGCTACTTTCATAAACTCCAACACCACTGAAATCGTCCAATCAAACGTTACCAAACATTTCACTGTAAAATGTATTCGATTTCTGAAGTAAAATAGGTTGCAAGTGCCATAATATGTTAATTAACTAAGTAAATATTTTTCAATGGCATGATCTTTGAATCAGTCTTATTGCAGATGTACTTATATTTATTACATTTATTCAACAAGGATGCGTTAAATTGATCAAGTGACATGTTTTCAACACTGATAATAATCATAAATGTTTCTTGAGCATCAAATCCTCATATTAGAGTGATTTCTGAAGGATCATGTGACACTGAAGACTGGAGTTATGATGCTGAAAATTCAGCTTTGATCACAGGAATAAATTACACTTTACTATATATTCACATAGAAAACAGCTATTTTAAATTGTAATATTTCACCATTTTTACTGTATTTTTGACCAAATAAATGCAGCCTTGGTGAGCAGAAAATGGTAGTGTGTGTGTATACATATATAAATAAACACGCGGTTTGAAACGTTTACGCATCACTAAGCAAAAATGCAAATGCTCAGATAAAGGTGAAACTATGGAAGGTTGTTTCCGCCACAGAATGAAAAATAAAAAAGGTAATTGCAACTTTTTATCTCCGAATTCTAACTTTTTTTCTCACAGTTGCCAGTTTGCATCTCGCAATTCTGAGTTTATTTCTCAGAATTGCGAGATATAAAGTCAGAATTGCGTGATATAAAGTCGCAATTGCGTGTTGTAAAGTCAGAATTGTGAGATATAAACTATTCTGAGGGGAAAAAAGTATTTTTTGCTTAGAATTTGCCTGATAACTCGCAATTGCGAGTTTATATCTCACAATTTTGAGAATATATGTCAGAATTGCGAGATGTTAATTCGCAATTGTGAGAAAAAAAGTCAGAATTGCGAGATAAAAAGTCTCAGTTCTGTCTTTTTTCTCTCAATTGCGACCTTTTCTCATAATTGCGACTATTTCTCAGAATGGCGACTTTATATCTCTCAATTGCGACTTTTTCTCATAATTGCGACTTTATCTCGCAATTGCGACTTTTTCTCATAATTGCGACTTTTTCTCATAATTGCGACTTTATATCTCGCAATTGCGACTATTTCTCAGAATTGCGACTTTATCAGAATTGCGACTTTATCAGAATTGCGACTTTATTTCTCTGAATGGCGACTTTATATCTTGCAATTGAGACTTTATATCTCGCAATTGCGATATAAAGTCGCAATTCTGAGATAAAAAGTCGCAATTATTTTTTTTATTCAGTGGCGGAAACAAGCTTCCATATGAAACTGATAATCTGCTTATTAAAACAATCTTCAGTTGTCAGAGATGAATGTGTACAGACAGTCTTTATTGTAAAAGAGGTAGAGAATACAGGTGTTTCACTGTACAGAGAAAGACAGCACTGTTGATATACTCATTCAAACGGTAAATAAAGACAGCAAACGCACCTCATTCATATAATTGATACATACACAAACCCAGTAAAAAAGAGAAACACACACACACACACGCACAAAAACAACAATCTTTGGATTTTTCTCTATTGCCCCCTTCACCCAAGCCAATTCTATCTGAGCTTTGAATAAACAATATAGAGCAGTGATAATAATAATTATAATAATAATATATAGCTATAATGAAAGCAGTCTTAATGCAGGTTAAAAAGTTCCCCTTTCAACACCCAAACATTGCAGTAACAAATAGTGGAAGTTGTGATGTAGTGGAAATGTAAAAATAAAAACAAAAGCAACTAAAAGCAATGATCTCATCCAGCTCTTGTGTCTGACAAACACACTCATTCATCCAAACGGAGAACGGCCTCATTCATGAAACAAAACTAAATATACACAGGTGAAACTCGAAAAATAAGAATATCGTCCAAAAGTTCATTTATTTCAGTAATTCAACTTAAAAGGTGAAACTAATATATTATATAGACTCATTACATGCAAAGTGAGATATTTCAAGCCTTTATTTGTTATAATTTTGATTATGGCTTACAGCTTATGAAAACCCCAAATTCAAAATTAGAATATTGTGAAAAGGTTTTCATAAGCTGTAAGCCATAATCAAAATTATAACAAGTAAAGGCTTGAAATATCTCACTTTGCATGTAATGAGTCTATATAATATATTAGTTTCACCTTTTAAGTTGAATTACTGAAATAAATGAACTTTTGCACCATATTCTAATTTTTCGAGTTTCACCTGTAAATGTATACATATACACACACACAGACACATATACAGTAGTGTGCAAAAGTGATGTCCGAAGTAGATATTTGTTTTTAATGACTGTACGAGTTGCTTAAGCATCAAAATACGAGGAAAATATTTTAGATTTTTTAAATATGAGGGAAGAACGAAGAATTAAACTTAGTTAATGTTTTTATTTGAGAAAATTATTTGGCAAAAAAGGCACATGTTTTATTTTACTATGCAAAAAAATAAGTGCATTGAAAAACAAAAAGCATACATTGACTACAACATAATCAGTTATTAATATTTCGTTGTTTTTGCACATAATTCATAATTTCTTTGTACGACAGGCCTGGACAAAAAATGACGTCGGCACAATTTTTCATGATTCATTGCGTTATCATCACAAATAAAACATCTGACTCCAAGCACAACTACACAATATGCTTTTATAATATTTAAATAAAGGATGAAGATGTCAATTTTTCTAGTCCGGACATCATTTTAGCCACTACTATATATATATATATATATATATATATGTGTGTGGTTTTGAGAGCGTTTAGACCAAATTTAGGACAGAAATTCTCTCTGCTCATGTTTTATGAACGAGGCTCATTCTTCATAATATTTAAATAAAGGGTGAAGATGTCAATTTTTCTAGTCCGGACATCATTTTGGCCACTACTGTGTATATATATATATATATATCATGTGGTTTTGAGAGCGTTTAGACCAAATTTAGGATGTTTTCCTCATGTTTTATGAACGAGGCTCATTCTTCTGTAAATTATTCCATTGAATGTAACACGACAATTTCCATAAGAATAGTTTTATGAATGATCTGCACTGAAAAGCTCTGCTTGTGTTTCATGAATGAGGCTCGATGTGAAGTCCAATAAAAATAAAAGTAAAAAAAACAGGCTAAAACTGCAGTTGTGTGGAGCGAGCGGCTCCTCAGTCGGAGTTGTCGGAGTGATCGCTCGCGGGTGAAGCTGCGGACGGCGGCGTGTTCGGCTCCTGCCAGCTCCCGTTAGTCTGGAGAAACACCAAACAACCAGCGTCATCTCCTCTGTGAACACAGCTCACACACACACCACAGGCCTATTCACAGCGAGCGGGAACGGTGAAGCGCTTGAGAAACAATCGGGCGTCGTTATTTACTTAAAGTCGGCATGAAACGGAAGTTGAGATTGTCCTTTTTTCCTTATTGCGATGTGTATCCGAGTGAAACGGCTTCTGTTATAGAGAGCCTAAGCCCCTCCCCTTCACCATGGGACCTTATCTCGGGAAAATATAGTATGGTAGTCAATGGCGAGAGACAACAAATATTTTGATCTCGTCTGAATAGGGCCCTGAATTACACATATGATGTTTGTCAATTGAAAAGATACATTTTAAAGTCAATAAAGTCGCAGTTTGATGTAAAACTGTTGAGGAGTAAGACTGTGAAAATACGTAAAGACTACAAACCCCAAAGGCGCACATTTCCTCTCAATGAATGAAGCTAACTTTACTGAAGCTAACGTCTGTCATTGTTTCTATAGTCTTGCGTTATAATCGTAACGTTACGCCGTCATCGAGTGTTTTGTACCAGACTGCACACACACGAGCAGCGGATCTCGCTCGTTGTTTCGCTTCCCGGGAGATGTAGTTCATCGAGCGATTTTCACATAAAACTAAATGTTACTCTTCTGTTTTATGACAAACTGCGACTTTCTTGACGTTCATAATTATCTTTTAAACTGACAAACATCATATGTGTAATTCAGGGCACAGTTCAGACGGAATAAAAAGATAAGTTGTCTCTCGCCATTGACTACCATACATATTTTTTCCCGAAATAAGGTCCGGAAGCGGAGGGGAGAGGCTTATGGCGCTTGATGTTTAAACTGACAGGACTTAAAAACGATAGGTAAATTATTTTTATGTATTTTTATTCATAATACTAGACTATTATTAAATGAGTGAAATATGTAAAACTTACCACGATGGGTAAATTATTTTTATGTATTTTTATTCATAATACTAGACTATTATTAAATGAGTGAAATATGTAAAATCAGATAATATAATCAAAAATAATTTAATTTAAACATACACATCATTTTACTTATTAATAATATATAATTATAGATATATTCCTATTATACACACTTATTTAAAAGTAAAAAAATATTTTACATTAAAAAAATACTAGTAATAAATTATATTTAAACATTCATACAGCACCTTTTTTATTTTACACCACTACTATTCAGTGTAATTTTAGCTTTTATTTTTATATTTTTATTTTTCATGTTAATTTTAGTTTAATTTTTAGTCAAATCATGGTGTGCTTTGCCATTTTATTAGTTTAAAAAAATATTGCCATTTAGGTTTAATTTATTTTTATTTCAGTCTTAGTTTTTATTTATTTCCAGTTAATAATTTTAGTGCTTCAACTTCAACTTATTTCAGTTTATTCCCAAGGCAACATTCCTAATTTTTGTTAAGTTTAAGTTTTTCAACTAATATTTATATTTTATTTTAGCTTTATTTCAATAAAAAGAAATGTTTTTAATAGTTTTAGTTAACAATAATAACCCTGCTATTTTATCATTATCCCAAGATATATTCCTATTTCACACTTATTTAAAAACCCAGTGAAATCTGCATGATCAGATCATTATTTACATTATTTACATTTAATTTACATTTATATAGCATTTCTCTGGATACTTTCTCAAAAATAGGTTGTATTTTATATGCAAGCCATCTTTGTTGTCATTTGTGTGAATGTTTCTCATAAAGAATAATCATGTGGCGCTTCACACATGGCTCTTGATGTGAATAGGCCTGGATTATAATCATTAAAGCGCTCATAAGCGTGTGCAGATCACAGTGATGCGGTGTAAGTCACATCACAGACACGAGCGAGCGTGACATGAGCTCCTCACCCGGCTCTCTCTGGTACTATAGAGTCTCTCTGAGAAGCGGGATTGAGCGTCCTACCAGAGAGAGAGAGGAAAAGGACATTTAGGCAAAGCAAACACAAAACCACATCACTCCCTCTAGGTGTGTAACGCTACACAAAGATCGCTGATCGGCACGTGCCCCAGTTTTAAGCTGCGGTTCGGTGTGTTTTCAGGACAGCAGAGGAAAAAACGGTAACACTTTACAATAAGGTTCATTAGTTAATGTATTTACTAACATGAACTAACTATGAGCAATACATTTGTTTACTGTATTTAGTGATCTTTGTGCATGTTAGTTAGTAAAAATACAGCTGTTCATAGTTTGTTCATGTTAACTAATGTTAACAAATACAACTTTTGACTTTAATAATGTATAAGTAAATGTTGAAATTAATATTAGCTAAGATTAATAAATGCTGTAGAAGTATCGTTCATTCTTAGGTCATGTTAAATAATGAACCTTTTTGTAAAGTGTTACCAAAAAAAACAAACCATTTGTGACCCTGGACGACAAAACCAGTCACATGGGTACATTTTTTGAAATTGAGATTTATACATCACGAATACGCTTTCCATTGATGTATAGTTTGTTAGGATAGGACAATATTGCTCGAGATATGACTATTTGAACATCTGGAATCTAAGGGCGCAAAAAAACTAAACATTGAGAAAATCTCCTTTAAAGTTGTGCATTTATGTGCGATTTTGCTGCATCCACTCACAAAAATAAATGTTTTATATATATTTACGGTAGGAAATTGACAGAATATCTTCATGGAACATGATCTTTACTTAATATCCTAATGATTTTTGGTATAAAAGAAAAATCGATAATTTTGACCCATACAGTGTATTGTTGGCTAATATACCCGTGCGACTCGTGACTGGGTTTGTGCACTTTTATTAAACAGTGGTTTTCTGAACAAACTACTTTGTTCACATTTTGTCGGTTCGCTTGGTACAAACCACAAAAAACTAAACACATTTAATCCTGGTCCGCTTACCGTTCACTTTGGCATTTTAACACCGAACCCAAAGGCACAGGAATAGGTCCACAACCTTATTGGTCGGCTTTTATCATGTATATTTCAGGACAGAACTTATCGGATGCTGTGTGTCAAGCTAAATGTGCTCGTTGTATGTGCGTAGCCTACATATGATGGTATTTTGACCAGACAAAACCAAACATTCGACTATTTCTGCCACAATACCATGGCTACAGTTCAGTTTACTACATTAAATCCATGGTGAATGTTGGTGATTTGTGGAGTGAAAAGCCTTCTATAACACTATGGCACAACGTCTGCTTCTCTCAGCGATGTTATTAAAGTCCCCCTGTGGTGAAAATCCAGCTTTTAATGCTGTTTATATGTATATGTGGTGTTTTTAATATGCTTAAATCATGTGTAAGTTCATAAGTCGACAGCATTGCTGAGTATTTCCTCCTTAAAAACTGCAGTAAACCAAAGACAGTCTCAAAAACAGGGTTTGAAATCGCTGGTGTTTCTGACGTCACAAACGACCTTGTAACCAATCAGATCAACGTGTGATCGTCAACCAGTGGATCTCTGAGTGAGTGAGTGAGTGGAGGCGGGGCTCGTTTGCATATTCATAGAACCACGAATACTAAATGAGGCAAGGGTGTCGAGTTACATTCAAGATATTTTAAGACGTTGAAAAAACATTTAAATATGTCATTTTGGTGATCAAAGATGATTTTAATGGATAAAATGATTGACTACAGGGGGACTTTGATACTGAGGTGAATTCTCACTGACGTGTGTGTGAGATCGGCCAGCAAGCAAACCTGTTCTGAAATCCACACATGCAGTGGTTAAACCAACACTGTATTTGTTCAGGACACACACGTACCGGACCGGAAGTATGTGTAGCGTTCCACGCCTAAATCCCTCTGATGTTACAGAAACACACATGCATGATGACGAGCAGCAGAAGCGCAGTAAAGAGCGTTTAAGAGAGTCCTACCTGAGCGCCCATGTGATACGGAGGCTGCTCTCCGTTCATTGGAGGAACTCCTAGGAAGCAGTCAGCTGACCCTGACAGCGAGAACGACCCTGAGCCTGGAAAAAAACAAAGGCGAGACACTCAGTCATGTGAAATTACCCACAACAATTTGTCCCTGAAACTTGTTTCCCCAGGCCTGTTGCTGTCTGCATTTCCAAAGTTTTCTAAAATATTGAATTCGAAAATCCAGGCTCAAAAAAATGGAATATTCAAATATTTTAATAAATTTTAACGTTTTTGTCACCATTTCTGAACATGCTTATGGTTAGGCAATATACACAACGCTTACGATATATCTTAAGTTTTTCGTTTAGTTGAAAACATTAAAGACCCACTCCGATGAAAATAATGTTTTTCTAGGTGTTAACATGTTCTTGTGGCATTTTTCTGATGTTAGAGGACATATCTTGAGAAAAATAAGCTCAAAGTTGTATTTCTGAGTATTTCTACATTCAAATGGCTGTGAATCAGTAGCAGACGCTACCGGCTAAAATAGACTGGAGTTGTGACGTAGTAACTCCACTGGGCGTCTCCACACGCGACGTCTTGGAGTGAAATAATGATCGGTGATCGGTGATAACTTTGATTAACTTCGGATAATAATAATGAACGTGTATATAATACTGTTGCCCCACCGGTATTGGGGGTGTAAGCTAGCGGGAGAGACAGAGCTCTCAGCAACGGGCAGGGGGAGGGGCGTCTCCGTGCCAACGGCTCCGCCCACAACGCAGAGGCGAATTGCTAATGAGCTCCTGCCGCTCTGCTGAAGCGAAGTCCCAGAAAACGGCACAGGTTTTGTGATTTTGGCTAAAAATGGCATAATCATAATTTAAAGACCACTGGGAATGTTTAAAAATAGCTCAAAATATGATCGAGTGGGACTTTAAACAATATGTGTAGGCCTAAACAAAATATATAGAACAAAAGTATTTAAGCTCAAGCAGCGAGAACGGAAAAAAATGCTAATAAAGCAGATTACGACAGTTATCGTAAACAACGTACACTCGAATCGTTACAACCTATCATGATGCTTGGGTGCAGATTCGATATGCATTGCGATTTTTCAGTGTTTTGATTTTTTTAACACTAGACCATCGGGAAAAGTTAAATCATACACTTATACAGACTGTACATGATGTATACGATGAGTCATATTTACAAAAACAATTCATCACATCTTTTATTTCAGAAACATCAAAGTTCTACATTCTCTTGAATTAATGATTCAATAACAAATAAAACATTTTTAAGTGTCAGTTGTCTTTTGATTACACAATGTAATCGATAATTGCGTTATTTTAAGCGCCAAGTTTGTATCAAAAACTGATTTACTCTATTGTGATCGCTACTGTAGACATCAGTGTGTATATTAGGACTTTTAACTTTTATCCCAGAACTTACATGATCATTTGAACTATTGCATAGGTCGGGAACCCGCGGCTCTTAAGCGCCGCCCTAGTGGCTCCCTGGAGCTTTTTCAAAAATTTGAAAATGGAAAAAATATTTTTTGTTTTAATATAATTTCTGTAGGAGGAAAAACATGACAAATATTCTTAAAGTTTTTCAACGTTGTAAAAATGTGTATAATAAATATTTAATTTCAACATTTCTGTCACTGAAGAATTTACGTCATAGACTGTGACACACGTGTCTGTCAGATCGGCGTGATGCTAGACCGGTGGCTGACAAACAAACAAACCGGTGGGTGTGTCATGGGCCATGGATCCCAAGGGGAAAAAGAGAAAGATAGCTGAGCACTCCCAACGCACTCTAGTGCGGCGCGGGACTAGATTTGATGGCCGAGTGCGAGCGCGGGCGCGGGCGCGTGCGGTAATGCACTCACTCTACTAAAACAAAATAGAAACGATTTACAGGCCAGAATTTCTATTCATAACGTGTTTGCAGCGTTGAGCGATGTAGCCAATCACAGACATATGTGTTGATTTCTTGAACGCAATGGCCAATCAGAAGCATTTAAGATAGACTCCCCTCACCGCTCAAAACTGACTTTTTTGTTCAGTGCTGAATTCTGTATGCTGGCAAATCCTCCAATTATAACGAACAAAGTGTGGATATTATGAAAGATTCATTGTGCAGTCAGCTTCATTGATAATAACAGAGATGTGTGAGATCGCGATGAACTGTCAGCTTTTTAGGAATTATTAAGAGAGTGCACTTTGCGCGCATTCAGTCATGCCAAACCATGCACGCAGTAAACTGCTGGCTTTTATGTTAAATTAACAGTGTATTGTGTTTTAATGCTTTAATAACAAATAATTTATCAGGAGGATGTATGGTGGCGACACGTAGGCTAACTTGAAAGTATTTGGAGGTACAGAAAAAAGTCTATTTGCGGGCGGGAGCGGGACAAAACATAAATGTTGCGGGCGGGAGAAAGAAAGTTGAGAACGTCAATTATAACGACCCACGCATTAAAAAATGGTCTGGTTAAAATCGGGCTCATTGTAATGTTTAATGTGTCGGGCCGGGCCGGGTTTGATTTTTTGGGCCCGTTCTAAGCTCTAATGTGTAGCCTACTTATCATTTTGATACAAATAAAGCTAATATAACACTTAGGCCTACAGCATGTGTTGCCTTCATTATAAGGCTTATATAAAGCTTTTCATTTTTTGCGGCTCCAGACAGATTTTTTATTTTTTTTGGGTCCAATATGGCTCTTTCAACATTTTGGGTTGCCGACCCCTGAACTATTGTATCACAGAAATAACGATACTATGAGGTTGAAAACACTGTTTGTGAAGCGGTTTCATGACAACTATCTCTCTGGGTCAGCGCCAACACAGATTTTAATGTTGAGATATGATTTTATCAAAGGTTTAATAGACCGATGAAATGGAAGAAGATCGCGTGGGTGTTTGAGTCGAGATCACAATCTTTTAAAGATTAATCATGCATCTCTACTGTCTTATCTCTCTCTCTCTGCTTTTCAGTGCGTTCAGTCTCACGTCGCTTTCACGCGATTCCACTTGAAAGGGATGTTGCGTCACTCAACGCTCATAGATAACGACACATTTCAAAAGTGGCTAACTCGTCAATTACAAACGAGTCAACCTCGTCAACCTCGTTTGTAAGCAAGGACAAAAATAAAGCTATTTCTGAATCGTAATGCTAAATCGTAAACAAAAAAAATTGCGGTAGTTAGGTGAATCGATACTTTCTCCCAGCCCTAACACACACACACACATATATATATATAGCACAACTGTTTCCAACATTGATGATAACTGAGTATCAAATCACATTAGAGTGATTTCTGAAGGATCATGTGACACTGGAGTAATGATGCTGAAAATACAGCTTTGATCACAGGAATAAATTAGACTTTACTAGATATTCACATAGAAAACAGCTATTATAAATTGTAATAATATTTCACAATATTACTGTTTTTTCTGTATTTTTGATTAAATAAATGCAGGCTTAAGGATAAGCATAAGATGAGTTTTTCTTTCAAAAACATTAAAAATAGAAATGTTTCCAAACTTTTGACCGGTACTGTATATACATATAATAAATGTTAAATGATACTGTTTATTAACATGTATTGCATATATTGTCCAGGCAAATTTTAAATCCCTAGAAACTAGTGTGAAAACACCCCGACTTGAACTGACCAGTGGAGTTTGGAGTGTGTGTATATATATATATATATATATATATACACATATATATACAAATATATACAGGTGAAACTCGAAAAATTAGAATATCGTGCAAAAGTTAATTTATTTCAGTACCGGTAATTCAACTTAAAAGGTGAAACTAATATATTATATAGACTCATTTCATGCAAAGTGAGATATTTCAAGTCTTTATTTGTTATAATTTTGATGATTATGGCTTACAGCTTATGAAAACCCCAAATTCAAAATTATAATATTGTGAAAAGGTTTTCATAAGCTGTAAGCCATAATCATCAAAATTATAACAAATAAAGGCTTGAAATATCTCACTTTGCATGAAATGAGTCTATATAATATATTAGTTTCACCTTTTAAGTTGAATTACTGAACTTTTGCACGATATTCTAATTTTTTCGAGTTTCTCCTATATATATATAGTATATATATATATATATATATATATATATATATATATATATACATACACACATTTATAGGTAAATGTTAGTGTTTATTAATATGTATTTCATATATTTTCCAACTAACCAGTGGAGTTTGGGGTGTGTGGTGACTCCTCGCTCTGTGTCGCTCCTAAAGCCGTCTTCATGGCGTACAGATTGGCCTCTTCCTGGAACTTCCCAATGTTCTTCTTATAGCGAATCCTCTTGTTGCCAAACCAGTTGGACACCTGTCACGATTTCAGAGCTAAAGTGAAACTGATCCCCCTGTGACGACGGGACGCTCCCGTAGTGCAGCGAGAGCCGAGCGCTTCTCAGAGACCGAGGACTCTTACCTGAGACACGGTGATGCTGCAGCTCTTGGCCAGCTCTTCTTTGGCCTCCTCGCTCGGGTAAGGGTTCGAGAGATGGGAATAGAAGTACTCGTTCAGCACCTCCGTGGCCTGTTTACTAAAGTTACGCCGCTTACGTCTGACAAAGCAAGAATTACATAGTCAGATATTTATCTCGTTTAAATGCAGAAAACAAAATGCACTTTGTGATTCTGATTCATTAGTGTGCTAATGCAGAAATTAAACCATATTAACAAAATATGTTCTGCTGTTTCTGTCAAAATAAAAGTTTGATGGTTTAATGTCTGAAAATTAAGAAATTAAGACAGTCATAAATAACAGTATTGTAATTTTACAGTTTTTTTTTAAATAATCCATTTTTTATTTTAGTAATATTTCTTATTTTATTTTTTATATTTACATTTAGTTATTATAATTATTATTAAATACCTATATTCATTTTGTGATTTAATTTTTTTAAATCACAATCACAATTAATTTAAAAATGTTTTACAATATAAATATTCGTTTTTAAATATTTTATAGTAAAAATTGTTTTTGATATTTTTATAAAGTTGTAAGGTAAAATAAAATTGTTATTATATTATTTTTCTTAAATAATCCTTTATTTTAGCAATATTTCTTATTTTGTTTTTATTGAGCAATTGTTATATTTACATTTAGTAAAAAAAAATAAAAAATTATTATATAGCTATATTGATATATAATTCCAAAATGTTGGCCAAACTCTGCAGCCATACAAACAAACACAGCAACCTTTTTTTAATCGCAATTTCTATTAAAAATAAATAAATAAATTGTTAAAATAATAAATATTTGTATTTTATTAATAAATATTAGCACTGTAATTTTTCTGTTGTAAGGTACAATAAAATGATACATTTAGTAATAATAATGATTATTATTATTATTATATAGCTATATAGATATATTATTCCAACATTTTTGCCAAACTCTGCAGCCCTACAAACACAGCAACCTTTTTTAATAAATCACAATTTCTATTAAAAATAAATAAATAAAACAATATTTGTTTTTAAATATTTTGTATTAAAATATTTGTATTTTATTAATAAATATTAGCACTGTATTTTTTCTGTTGTAAGGTCAAATAAAATGATCATTACATTATTACATTATTTTTCTTAAATAATCTATTTTATTTTAGCAATATTTCGTATTGTGTTTTTGTTTCATTTTTATATTTACATTTAGTAATAATAATAATAATGATTATTATTATTATATAGCTATATAGATATATTATTCCAACATTTTTTGCCAAACTCTGCAGCCTTACAAACTAGCACAGCAACCTTTTTTTAAACCACAATCGCAATTTCTATTAAAAATAAATAAATAATTAAAATAATATTCGTTTTTAAATATTTTGTATTAAAATATTTGTATTTTATTAATAAATATTAGCACTGTCATTTTTCTGTTGTAAGGTAAAATAAAATGATCATTACATTATTTTTCTTAAATAATCTTTTTTATTTTAGCAATATTTCTTAGTGTGTTTTTATTTCATTTTTATATTTACATTTAGTAATAATAATAATTAATTATTATATAGCTATATAGATATATTATTCCAACATTTTTGCCAAACTGTTAAGCCTTACAAACTAGCAAAGCAAACAGATTTTTTTTTTTATTGCAATTGCAATTTTTTATTTTACATTTTTTTTCCTCAAACTGAGCAAAACTGATCGATATGGCGGTGGCGAACGCACCTGGCGTCCAGAAAGCGCGAGCGCAGGATCATGACGGCCTCGCAGGTGCTCTGCTTGAGCTGCGTCTGGATGGAGCTGAACTTGCGGTGGATGATGTTCACCATGCGCTCGATCTCGCGCGGAGACACAGGCCGGGTGCGAGACTGCTCCCTCAGCAGGTTCATCACGTGGGTCGTGAACTCACTGCAGGCCTGTAGACAGCAATGACATTACAAACCAGCTCCTTTCTGTGTCACAGTGCATCAGACGTCCATTTTCTGTCCTCGCTGAAAGGAAAACGCTGTGCAAACTGACACAACACAACAAATCATGTTGAATTTTAAGCTCAAGCTCAATAGAAGGCAACAGTCGGGGTTCCAGAAGTAAAAATCCCATTCATTTTCTTCATAGGAATATTTATTTTATTACAATAAACCATTACAGACAGACCTACTGTGAGCTAGGCTAGTTGTTAGTCGATGTGCTTTTGTTGAAGCCATCAACCCGCATTATTATCATTTATTCTTTATAAATTGATGAAAAACTACATTCCCCAAGATTCAGCAGTGAAATCTCCACCAATCAGAGAGTCGACAAGCAAATAGCCCCGCCCACTTCCATCAAGCACTGCAAATGTCTCTCAAACTGCTTGAATATTTTTTAAAAATCAACATGTTTCATATTTCTCCATTGTTTTTAAATCAATTACATCACTCGCAATGCATCATGGGATTGTAGTTCTTTCCCGCATTAAATCCGTTATCTTTCACTCTGATTTTTAAATACTTTTTGCTTTGTAAGGATGTGATTCACCTCATAGTTGGTCAGTTTGGCTTATGGATTACAACTCTTTAACCAAAGACTTGTTTAATATCCCTATGGGGAAAAAACATGAATGGAAAAATACTTCCGGAACCAAGGCATTTACAGCTTTGCGAAGCAGGATTTTGGACCAATGAGAGTTCCCTGAGGGCGTGGCCACCCAGCGCAACGGCAGCGATATGTACCTGCTCGTATTTTTCCAGCTCTGTGTGGTAAATGTTCCGAATTTGGCTCAACTTGCTTTTATAGTCGGAGTGCTCCAATGAGCTGTCAGGTGACATCCCGCCAGAGCTGGTCGCCGCGGAAACCGCAGCGGCGGCTCCGCCCCCTTTTTCTGGCCCGGCCACACCTTCGGCCAGAAGCATGTTGTCCAATCGCACGAGCTGTGGGTCTGGAGGCTCCTCCTCCTGAGCATTTCTCATGGAAAGACCTAAGAGAAGAAATTCATAACATTAATATTCAACATATTATGTTTACCAGATGCTCAATAGCGGGTTTCACACCAAAAGCATGCGCACCACTGATCTACATTAGTGTTATACAGGTGAAACTCGAAAAATTAGAATATCGTGCAAAAGTTCATTTATTTCCGTAATTCAACTTAAAATGTGAAACTAATATATTATATAGACTCATTACATGCAAAGTGAGATATTTCAAGCCTTTATTTGTTATAATTTGATGATTATAGCTTACAGCTTATGAAAACCTTTTCACAATATTCTAATGTTGACTTTTTGGTTTTCATAAGCTGTGAGCCATAATCATCAAAATTATAACAAATAAAGGCTTGAAATATCTCACTTTGCATGTAACGAGTCTATATAATATATTAGTTTCACCTTTTAAGTTGAATTACTGAAATAAATGAACTTTTGCACGATATTCTAATTTATTCTAATAAGCCGAATCTCAAACAGCTTGCGAGAACCAAATTGACTTGTTTTCATGTGGCTTATAGCACTTAAAAAAGCGAATACATACAAAATTAGGTCTAAAAAGTCCGTCTTGGTGAGTATTTATGTAAATACAGTCAGTTTTGGAAGGCAAGTAGTTAAGAAAGAAAACTTATGTTGTGTAACAGTATATTGGATCCGTGCATAAGCTCTTAAAGTGACAGCAGCCTCATAAACCTGCTGCCGTCTGCCATATTAATCAGAGAACAAAAGACAAAGAGAAAATTGTTCAAATTTCTTAACGAAGGGAGCAACGAAAGACAACGTAATTTCTTTATTATTTTTTACGTTTTACGACGGAAATCTCTTATTATTGCTGTTAACATAATAACTGTTGCAAATAAATATACATTTTAAACAAAACAAGTTTTTAAAATATGCGTTATATATCTGTGTGTGAGTGTCTCAACTTTAAACCTTGCCGTCTCATCTTTGGACCCTGCATTACCTAACATTTCTTGTGAAACTTATTTAAACATAACATGACAAAATTTGTGTTTATGATGTTTAGATTAAAATCTTATCCTTGTGTATCCTCTATGTTTTTTTTAATTTTCAGCTCATTTCTTTTCTCATTTAAATATTTAGATTTAAGATTTAAATAAAGCCTCCCTGTGCTGTGTGTAAGATATTGCAACTAAATTACCCAAATTATAAACGATGTACGAGATAATAAATTATCTGTATGTGGCAGTTTTCCCAGTGCGGTATCGAAAATTATATCGAATATCGATATTTTTCAAGTTATAGTATCGAAGTTGGAAATTCCAGTATTGTGACATCACTAATGCGCAATATGCATATAAATAAAACACATTAATAATATACATATAATTCAAGATATAACAATGACACTATTTTCTAGATATGCTGTACGTATGTTTAGCCGAAAGGAACTGTTTATATTATTGAACCCTTTTCCTGTTACCACTGTAAAGCTTTGAAACAATCAGTATTGTATGAAGCACAGTAGAAATAAAGGTGACTTGACTTAATGCCAAACCATTTGCTTTCGCCATTTTCATGCCAAAACTATACTTTGGGTAATTAAAAATTAAACAGCGATTAAATAAGATAATGAAAACCTTTTCAAGGATGTCAGATACTGTTAAGGCAGTCAAGATAAAATTTGAATTAATTTCCATTACACTCTAATCATCAGTATAATCACGAGGTTAAGTGCTTCAGTCAAGGGCAAAGCATTAAGCAGGATGAATCATTTTGACAGTACGTGTGTCATCAATGCTTGAACATTGCAACCACATTTAAGTACAGCTTTATTCTACTACACAGACCCTAACTGGAAGAGTTTTTATTTATATACTTTACAATGTGAAGGTCAGTGTTTCAAGAAAGCCCTGTGCAATAAACAGTGTACGGCAGGACTGTATGATTGATGACACACAGCATGCAATGCCATGGGAGCGTGCCAGACCACGGAAATTAAACGACTCCATTAGGCACAAAGCCATTTAATTACTAACCATCACAGTAAACATTTCAGTCCTCTTATGGCATTCCCTAAACTTAGTCTTCATACAAACCAAAGACATTACGCAAACATAACTGCAAATAGCAAATAGAAGGGTTTGTGTTGATATACTGGAGGGAGTAAAGATTATTTGCTTTTGATTATTTGCTTTTGTTTCTCAAAGAAGCCAATTACCATATTACCGTTGTACTGCTATTCTTACACATGAAAGTGGTGTCACATACAAACAACAGGGTTTGAGATTATAACGCTTGTATTGAGCCGATACTGCTGAATATTTGCGAGATAAATGTTTATTTGGTTTTTAAGAACTGCAAACCAGACAAACCAGTAACCATTTGTTATTGGTATGCTGAAAGTGCTATATTAACATTTCTAATGCATGCAAATGATTGGGTACATCATGCAAATAATATGGTTTGAAATTGGTGTGGTATGAAATTGTTATTATTTGAGAGCAACGTTTGATTTTTAGAAGCTGCAAACCTGGTCAAACCCATTATCATTATGCTATTGTGTAAATAGTGCAATTCTAACATTCAAATAATTGAGAGTACTGCATGCAAACGATGGAGTGTGAGAATATATATTTACATACTAGAATTAACATAAGTTATTATTTAGGGGAAAATGTTGTATTTTTAAGAGATATACACTGTCTGGCTTTGTTCTTGCAGAACATGGCGCCTGTGCTGAATCCCCTGCCAACTTTTAAACTAATTATAAAGTTTCAGTTATGGTATTTACCACTTTTAACACAAAATGTATGCACATTACTCACCAGTTTTCTCTTTAATTTCGCACAGGACGCTGAATAAAGCCGGTTTCATCGATGACAGTTTAAAGCGTGTTTTCTGTCACAAAAAAAACAAACAAAAGTCAGTTAGCCAACATTAGCATGCTACAATTGTGACTCGCATTAAATTATATAAAGGTTGAAATCAAAAACCTATCAAAATATTTCACAACCCCAGCTTAACACAATTGAGGTCTTTTTAACGCATTAGCCTAAATACTTCTTAAATACTCCGATTCTCCTGGCACATTAGCATTTCATCTTAGCTTCAGGCAGTGATTTGTGCTTTTGTGAATAAAAATAAAGTTACTTTAGTAATAAGATAAATATAAGAGATTAGACCTTAGCACATCTAACCGGGAATCATTATTTTGGGACATATATATTGTAAAAGTGAAGATAAAGAGTTTGTTTTAAGTCAAGAAAAACGTAAACAATAGCGGCTAAGCTCGTGAACTTCAGCACACATGCTAATAATTTAACTTTTTTTTTATAAATTAGGCCTTCTTAAATATCAAATTAAAGTGTGTTTGTGTAACTTAACGCGTGTTATGTCATTATTATTATTTTATAAATTATAGATCACTATCTATTTTAGCATACCCTTGTCTCACGCGGTCATTAGCGCAATGCTAAACTTTTAAGTTTTTTAAAAATAATAATTTTTAAATAACTCACTTTGCTTGAGCTTCGTCTAAACTTTGGTCGGTGATCGTCATGATGATCTGTTGCAGTATGTCTCCAATGTCTCGGCGGTTGTCGTGTCCGTTTTCGCTGCCTTCGAGGCCCGCTGGGTCTCCATCGGGAGCGGTGTTGAGAGGACGGGTGCACCGGGTTAAGAGGATGCATTCCCGGGTGGACGCTCAACCCGAGACCGCGGCTTGCGCTGGGCCCGTTGCCTGTGATGGGCTGCTGCGGCTGCAACATCCTGAGCAGTACATTAATCTAGAAGCGTGTGTGTGTGTGTGACTGTGAGTGAGTGTGTCCGTGAGTGAGTGTGTCCATGCATCACCACACTGGAGTCCCCTAGCGATTGACAGGCAAAAAACGTGGCCTTGCATGGAAATAGACATCTGGCAAAAGCAGAAGTCAATATATAAGCACATTGTGAGTCTTATTGGATGGGTCAAAAATACAGAATACCCAGAGAGGTTAAAGTAAATTTTCTCATCCAATCAAGTCCATTCAGCATGTGCATCTCTGCTCCCAGAAATGTAAATTCACAACCATGATAAATTTCATCTGAGGTCTTTGTGAATGAATGAAGTTCACATTTCATCCAAAAATCAAAAGAAAAAAAATAATAATTGCAAAGGAAACGTAAATCCAATAATGCTTTAATTTCCGTTGATCTAGCCACTAGGCCTTAGTTGAATTAAGACTTTTGAAGAAGCTTTTATTAACATGCCTTTAAAAAACATTACTGGTGTGACAAAAAAAAATGACACTGATGATATGATATGTCAGTGCAAGTTGCTTTTTGGTTAAGACAGCTCAAACATGCATTTTAGTCTGAGACTATATACTCAAGCCTCGTCTGCGAAACCAGGCAACATTTTATTTTATTACACTAATAATGACATGAATGAGAATGGAATCGAGTAGCTATAATGGAAATTAAATAAGTAAGTAAAAAAGAGACACAGACAGACCTGGCTGCCGAAGGAAGAGTGACTGTGCAAACAGAGCTACACTTTTTGACATCTGCCACAATTATACAAACATTAGGGACACTTTCTATCCCCTTTTCACAACCCACCAGAAAGACTTCCATCAGACAAGGACAAACTCCCACACCTACTAGGAGAAAGTCCAGATAGTTCAAACCTGGCTGCCAGGTGTGTGTGTGTGTGTGTGTGTGTGTGTGTGTGTGTGTGTGTGTGT